TGGCCATCCCAGGCAGGCCGAGGCGGCTGTTCTATGGGGTCCTTGTGCCAGTGCCTATGCCAAACAGAACCATGGGATATGCAACCAGCCTGACTGCATGCTCAGCAGCTAAGGATAGGCTTTTTGGGGTTGGCAAAAATATACTGCTGCATTTCAATCCTTGCTCGGTGCCCATTTTTCTAGCTCCAACCACGTCTCCCATCTGCCATCCATCCAGACAACCAAGAAGGAGAAAAGGACTTTTCTTTACTCCTCTGGTTCCTGGGCAGCATTCAAAAGTTATGGGCTCTTGCTCCCCCCAAGAAAGAAACATTATCCTTAGTCTTCAAGGGTGAGGATTCCTGCATGTAACAGGATTGAATAATGCCTTTTCTCTAGCTTTCATACTGGAATTTAAGAGGACCCCAGAGCAGTGAGTTTATTAGGACCCATAAGAACCATACTATAACTGGGACCCCTGCAGCCATAAACCTCTACCTTGAAGTTTGCAACAAATCCTGAAATGGTGAACTAGGACGAGCTCTTGTCTCTGTCAGCAGAAAAAATAAAATAAAATAAAGGGAGAAATGCAAACTCAAGCAGAAAAAGAGAGCTGAGAAAGGAAGACAGAAAGAATGAGAGACCTACGACAACAGTGCTGTTAATGATAGTAAAAATAATAAGATGGCATGAAAAGCAGGTGGTGTGCTGAAATTTCCCCAGACAAGCCTGGAGAAAACACCTATGTTACAGGATGGGGTCTGGCGCACACGAGGAGTGGGGAAGGGGTGATGAGAGAGGAACACTCACACATGCATGCACACATTGCATACAAGCACATGGTGCACCCAAAAAATATACACTGGGACACAAACATGCACACACAACAAATATTGCACACAATGCACTCACACAATGTGCTCAAGAATGCACATGTGCACCACATGACACACATACATGCACACACAAAAGCACACAACACACATGCACACGCATGTACTTACAATTATACACATGTACAACTGTACATGGATACACACATGCATGCCCACAGTTTACTCAAAACATAGTTGATCACAACACACATTAAGCAAACATGTACACATGTATGCGCTTACATGTGCAGAGTTATACATGCACATGTATACACACATATATCTGCATTCATAGCGTGCACTCACACACATATACAGGTACACAATGACACAGGTACACATGTGTGCGCACATATGTGCACACAGGTATACAAACACAGCCACAGAGGAGATAAGAAGCTGCTTAGAAGAAAACAAATCCAGGTAAACAGCAAAAGATATCCTGGGGCCTTCTGGGCCTTTGTCACTGATAACAGAGCCACTTGGAGTGAGGTACGTGGTGGATGTATGGATATTTTCTCCTCTGTCCTTTGGAGATACTCAGATGGCTTAGCATGACTCTCTGCTGAATACCCTGAGTTACTTTAAGGCTGAACAAAGGCCTTGGGCTTTGCCCTTGGCAGCAAAGAGCAGAACAAATTAGAAGATATTTGGCCATAGTGGCAATGCACACTCAGCAGCAGCAATTGTGTTAGAACTGAGCCTAAAGCAGTTTGAGGACCAGCATCTTGTCCTTGTGGCAAGAATATTCCTGCTGTAAACAGTTAGGAGGCAAACACACACACACACACACACACACACACACACACACACACACACACACACTGAGCTGGCTTCTCTGTGCATCGTGCTTGCTCTGGTCCCCAAGCCTGCTTCACCACATGGCAAACTCTCTTAGTTGCTAATACAAAAATCATTCTACTCTCTGTCCTTGTAAAGAGAACCCCATTTTATGTGGGGTGACAATGTGTCCACTCTAAATCTCAGGATCTTTGGCAGTTATTTGAAGTAATTTTGGTGAATGAGAAAAATACCTATTTGTTGTGGGATTCTGGAAAAACTTTGACTTCCTGATAACAGGGGTAAGAAAGGCCAGAGTCATCCTTTTCCTTCTGTTTTCGAATGTGGTCATGATGTCTGGAGAGGCAACAGCCATCTTGTGACCATGAAGTCAGAGGTCAGAAGCCAACACCCTGAAGATTATAAGGCAGACATTCAGAAAACCAATCCAGCACCTCCCACTTCAGGACTTGTGTTATGTGAGAAAAATAAACACTTCTTTGTTTGAGTCACTGAGTTGAATTTTTTGTGCTTGCAGCCAAACTCAATCATGACTGGTACATTCAGGTGGAAAGCACTTGGCACTTTTTTGTTTTTTTTAACTTCCAACCTTCCTGCTGCCCCTTTCTAGCTCCTGAAGCCTCGCTGCCAAGGTATTAAATAACACCAACATTCCTGATGGTATAAAACTGAATGTCATGGGCTGGGCTGAGCTGGGACATGAGTGAATCATGAAGAGCCCAGGCAGACCCTGAGCACTCCAGCTCGGTCCTGGACCACCTTCGTGCCAAGACCCCTCTCCTTGGCTGGCCTCTCCCTCTCCCTGGGACCTTAGCTCTCTGCCCTATGCTTTGTGCTTGCTGTTTGGACGCCATCTCTGATGTAGAACGGGTTAAACTTTTTATTGATTTATTTTTCTTTTTGTGAGTGTGTAGGGAGGAAGAAGAGGGAAAATAAATTATACATCTCCCAAGATACGATCTGTAGTTAATTCTTAATTAGGACTGACAGATGCTTCCCCCATAATCCTATTCCCAACATGTTCTGTTTGCTTTGTTTGGTGCTGGAAGATATATTGTGACACAGTAATGACCTTTCTAAGCTTGTCCTGGAAGTGTTATTGGCATTCTAATGATTTATTGCATGTTCCAGTTGATTACAGGGCCATTTGTCAACATTTTATTTCTCTCTCCATAAACCTGTCTCCTGCGTCACAGACATTCACTGGCATGAAATTTAAACAAATACAGTATATAGCTCTTATTCAACTTCTGTTTTCACTTGGAACCTCTGGAGCAAACCCATTCTGACCAAGAGAGGGTTTTTTATGACCGATGCTGCTGTCGTTTGCACAGAGCAATGAGTTAGTCTCTCTGTGTGTGAGTCTGGCGCTGATTTTCTCTTTATTGATTTGCAATTCCTTGTGTTGGGTTTTTTTTTTTTTAAAGTCAAGTCGGTCAGATCTTTCCCAATTCCTTATGTGAACTCTGCCTCTGGGTTTCCAAACTGTCATTCTGTGCCTGTTGGCGTGCAAGGAAATGCTTGGCTGGAAAAGGAGGTGTTGTCCTGTCTTAACCAGTCAGTCCAGTGGATTTACCTCTTAACTACTTGCAACCACAGACTCACTGCACAAGTGACAGGACTGAGCAGGTCCAGGGGACATTAGGAGAGAATGAGTCACCTCATCATAGCACAAAGGCTTGAGCGGTTCTCAACTCTCTGGGTGACCTTGGGCCCACCCCATCTCCTCTAGGACTTCAGACTTATAGGCTGGCTTTGCTTCATGCTGTTGTTGACACTATTTATGGCATGCATCTGGTCACCCCTGTCCTGTACCTGCCTCACCGAGGTGCTCCGAGGATAAATAAGTCCATTATCTGCAGTGCTGAGAGCTCCTTTGAGGAAGGCTTTACATAAATGCACACTTATTCTTGTGCTTCTATTTAGTCAGCTATCAACCTCTTGAGCTGGTCCAGAAGACCCCAAGGGTCACTTAGAAGAAATGGAAGGTGGTTCTCCCTTTCAGATTCCATTTGAGAGGATATGAATATTCACCTGGGTGCTTTCACACTCACACACAGAGACAGGCGCATGCACACTCCTAATGGAAAGCACTTTAAAGTTTAAGATTCAGTCTAAAATATTAGGGCTTAATTTTCCTCAGATTCCTGCAGCCTGGTCTGAAACAGGGCTTCTCTTAAGCCAGAGAGCTGTTGGCTGAGCTGTGCATTTTGCTGTTCTCTCAACATGTGCTTCCCACAGGCATCTCAAAATCACTTAGTTGATAACCAAACTCATAATTAGTTTATATGTTTTAGTTCTGTGAATGTTACCTCCTCTTGAATTATATTCCTCACTGAATGGCACACACATCTGCCTGGTGGCCCTGTAAGAAACCTGAGAGGCATCCTTGCCTCCATCCTTTCTTTTGTCCTCCTCAAATCCCGTTGGATTCTGTGTCCTGCAAATTTATTGGATCTACCCACTCCCCCCATCTCATCTGCTCTTGTGTTCTTATCATCCCTCTCCTGCATTATGACAATGCACTCATCAGCTGTGGACGGTGGTTGCAACAACAACCAGTCTTGTTGTGTCGCACAGCTGGAACATCTACTGGAAGGATCATGGTGATACAATGTAGGCAGGAAGCTGGAGGACCAGGACTAGAAAATAGTGAGGCGTCAAGGGATCTCTGTGATCAAGCAGTTGAATCCCCGGTCAAGGTCACTGTCTCAGTGATCTCATTCTGGGAATAAATTATCCCCAGTTCAGGACTTGAATGACAGCATTTACTTTGCGGATGAGTCTGTAATTGGGGCATAACTCAGAAGGGAGAGCTTATCTCTTCTCCACCTGGCGTCACCTGGGATGGAAGGTTGGGGCCCAGGATCATCTGAGGACCCTCTCATGGGCGATGCCTGAGGGTGGCTGTCAGCTGGAACCTTAGCTGGACTGTTGGCCAGAGCACAACACATGGTCCCTCCATGTGGCCAGGCTCCCATGTTACATGGTGGCTGGGTTCCAAGGGCAAACTTCTCAAGAGAGAATGAGCCAGATGGAAGCCATTTCACTCTTTATGCTATAGCCTCTGAAATCTTGCAGTGTTACTTCCACTGCTTCTATTCTGGAGAGGGAATAGACTCCGCCTCCTGGTGGGGAGTGGCAAGGTTCTGGAAGACATGTGGGATTGGAAATATTGCTGAGGCCATTTTTGGAACATACAATCTGCCACAGTCTGTGAAAAGTCTGTTGTTTAGTTACCCTCTCAAAATGCAAAGTTCCTAGAAGGGAGCGTCAGATTGGCTGTGCATTTATTATGAACAGGCCTGCTCCTGGCTACTCCAGGAGGTGAGATAGGGGGAATTGTTTCCTTCTACAACTACACAAAATGGTGGGGAGTTTCTCCCAAAAGGGATATCAGGGTGCTAACAGGAAGATGGGGAAGAGCAATTGAAGGGAAATATTAAATGCCAGGCACCCAAAAAACAATGAATAACTTTTATAGCCTGTCCACAGCTCTTCCACCTTCCCTTAGTTCTTCATGACCTTAGTACCATTGTGATCTAATATTCGATTGTGATCACGTGACCCTCATGCTTAAAATCCCTGGATGGCTCCCATAATTTCAGAATCAGCCCAAACTCTTCAGCCCGGCACAATAGGCACTATGGACTTGCCCTTGCCAGTCTTCTGGGTGTCCTCTGGCTCCTGCCCAAGCCACATGCAAAATTTGTTCTACCATGCTGCTTTTTGACTCTTTCTCATATTCCTAATGTCCTCTGAGTTTTCATTCTTGCAAATCTGTAGATCCTTCTGTAACAATAGTTGTTCTTTTCCACCTTTGTATGCCAGGCAAGGTTTCATTTACTTCATCTTCTCTGGAGTTAATCTCTCCCGGCTGAGGCTGAGTTGTGGCCCCCTTCCAGGTCCCCATAGGACTCAGCTCTACAGTCATTCTACCTTTATTTTCTGGTCCATTTCCATGGTTAGATGATAGGGCCCTTGAGGACAGAGGCTGTGTTTTGGTTGTTTCTGTATCCCCCAGAACTCAGAATATTGCTGGCCACATAGTAGTTGCTCAGTTAATATCCACTGAATTAGCTGTTCAGATTCTGTCTTCTAATACGACTGTCTAAAAGTGGGTGTCGTGGTGGGAAGGCACTTTTACAGCTGAATATTGGGAAGTCAGATGAGAATTGTTCACCACCACAAAGTACTATTGATGGTGCACAGTAGTGCTGAGGGCAATTAGTTAGCTTCACCGACATAGCTGGGCCACATATATGTTGATCCTGGAGAGCGTTGGGCTAGTTGTAACTTAACCGGGATGAGGTAGAGAGGTATTTGTTCACATAGCATAATCCTTGACCAAAGCTGTTCTTTGGTTCCACAGCATCTGAAGAGAAATGAACATTTGAAAATAACAGAGAAAAACAAGTCCATGTCCCTGGGAAGAAATATAGTTTATATTTCCATGTTTTTTTCCACAGTATATAATAATTGCTCTCTCCCATAATTGGATAAAATGGGAAGAAAAGCAAGGGACATTAAAATGGATACAGAGAATGGAGATAAGGTTGGAAAGCAAAGGGCAGAAAACCAATTTTGTTCCTTTTATATGTAGATCCAAAGTGGGATTAGATGTAGGGATCATCACGTTGAGGGGAGATCCAGAGGGGGGAGATAAACAGGGCTTTTGTTCTCTTTTGGGGGGCTAATTTCTCCACTGTTGTTGGAACCCCAGTGTTAAAGCACCGTCTCATCAGAGATGCCTTACGTGGGCCATGCTACAGTCTCATGGACACCTGCCTCCAGCTTGGTGAAGGTGGCAGTTCCTCCTCCCCCAGGGGTGAAAGTAGAAATCAGTTCCTGGCTAAAGAGGACAGATGGGGTGAGGAGAGGGGCATCCCAGAGAGACTTAGAGGCTGAAGAGCTCCCAACCCCATTGTGAGCTGCATGTAACGTATGGCTTAATTTCCTCTCAAATTAGACACTTGATAAAAAAAGTTATTATATCTGTCAAATTGCCAGGGCATTTTATGGGCGTGATAAACTAAGAACCACTGCTTTACAAACCTTGATGGGATGTTTCAGTACCTGGAAAACAATTTTATGGCCGCCCAGGCTACTAACAAATTGCAAATACTGATTAAGCCATAAAGTTACAACAACATTAAAATATAATGAGAGGTTATTGCACGCGGGAAGGCTCTTAAGCAACAGCCACAGCTGCACTCAGCTGGCGAGTAGGCCTGATGCTTTCTCTGGCAGAGTGAGGTGTTTCAGATGCAGTGGTCCTTCAGGGCCAGGCCTGGGCTCTCAAGGGTCCTGGGTGACACATCCTTGAGGCAGAGCAGAGAATGAGGAGGCTTTGGTTGTGTTGGACATTGTTCCGAGTGGCCAACTTCTTGGGAGCCTAGGACTTAAGACCAGGCAGGGAAGGTAAGCACTGAGTTGGTACCATATGCTGTGGTTATGTGATGCTCTCTGGGAAGTTCCATCCTTGACCCTTACTCTCTGCTCTTCATGGAGGTTCTGCTCACTGTCAGTTCCCTGCTGTACGTACCAGGCTAACCTGGTGGTCAGTGTGCAGCATTCATCAAGGGTAGATGCCTGGTGCAGCGCAAGGTAAATAAGACCTAACTTCTGCCTCCTAAGAGCTGTAGTGTAGTGAGGGACTTGGGACATATGCGTGAGAAGATAAAAATACAGAGCAGAATTTACGAAGAGCCGGCCAAGTCATTACTGAAGAGCTGCAGCAGGGGAGGAAGGGAAGTTGGCGCTCTTGCTGGTTCTTTTTGCCTCTCTACTCTTTAGTCAAGCTAAGATTTTCTTGTGCTCCCCAGGCTGTCACCAAAGGAAGCAACAATCCTCGTCTAGATCACTGGTCCATTCCTTCTGCTATAAGAGGATGTCAGTCGAAGTCCTGGCCTCATGTGTCCTGGAGAGGTTCTGGGCCCTCCTCAGTCCTGGAGTACCTCACCTGGCCCAGAAAGCCTGAATTTCCTTCCAGCCCTGCCCTCCAGGGCTGAGGTCATTTGTGTGGTTCCTTCACTCTCGGCCCTTACCTCTGGTCTTCGCTGCTTTCAGTAGTGGTAGGTTGATTTATTTATTTTTAACCAGGGATGTTCTATACTAAGCAAAGTCCAGGGGCTTAATAGTGGCAAGTAGATGCCCCAAATTGTATCCATGTATGTGATTGTGAACCCTGAGTCACCCAGGGATGGGAAGTGAAATGAAACACTTTTAGGAAACTTGGTAATGAGTATGTAAGAACAGTAGCTGTCTTGTGTGGAGGTCAGAGGTTACTCTGGAGTCAGGGAGATGAGGTATGAATCCTACTCTGGGCTTTATCAGCCCAATATCCTGGGGCAGGTAATGAGGCAACTTTATGCTTTAGATTTCTCTGTTTTATTTATATACTTACATATTATACTTATTGCTTGTATATTCATCCTCATTTAAATACTACCCAAAATTGTTGGGAGGAGGGTAAAGTTGATGAATGTGTGCAAAGTCCTTAGAATGGACCTGGCATAGGGGAAACCCTCAGTGGATGTTGCTATTGCCACTTATTGAGCTTCGCTGTGTATCAGATTCCTCACCCTATGCGTGTTATCTCTAATATTTATAATAAACATCAAAATAAATATTACCAGCTCCATTTTATAAGTGCAGAAACTGAATGAAACTCAGGGAGGAAAAGTCTCTTGATTACAGCTAGTGAGTGGTACAGCTAGCCACAGTGGTAGGTGATAATTAAGAATGCATTCTGGGAGCTTTCAGGAGCTAAGCCTTTGGCAGATGTCTGGGGATATGGGAAGAAACCTCTTTGTCCTCACAACCACTCTGTACTGTGACACTGGTCACATGACGCAAACCTGTGCTCTGTGGACCCACCCTCAGGTCTAGGAATGGCTCCGCCCCGCAGCTTTGGGTCTGAAATGGTCAAAGCCACTGGAATGCCATTTTAGGAAAGACTGTTCGCTGGCTCTCCCCAGGCATTTTACAATGAATAATGACTCTGTTGTAAAGGGGCTTAGAATGGAAGCAGCCTCAGGCGATGCTCAGCACATCTTTTTGTATTATATGAGAAGTTGGGCAGGTTTGGAGGACAGTGACACCTCTGGAATAAACTGCATATTTTACTCTTGCTGGGTGTGGTGTGGTAAACATGCAACAAATATAGCAGTAATACTCAGAGGTTCCTTATTCATTTGCTCCTACTCACTCATAACTTATTCCTATGAAATAGCATCACTCAACTGGACTCTAGAGATCAGTAGTTGAGTAAGAGGGCATGTGCCCGCAAGGCTGTTGAGAGTAATGGACTGCTAATGCCATCACCTATGCAGTGCTTCAAAGACCTTTACAAAGGTAGATAAGGTACAAGGGACACTTGGAGAAAAGATGACCCCCAAGTCTGCTTGGGGAGTTCTGAGATTGAACTGCCTAACCAGAGAGAAGAGGACAATCACATTCAGCTTCCTTCCTCTTAAGAAGACTGCTCCTTTGGTCTTGGTTGTGACAGTATTAGTGTTGATGACTAAGATCTATGTAGAAAAAAGGCACAGTGGCCCCATCGGGCAGCAGTCATTGTTAGACCCATTAGATAAATTAAGAGACTATGACACAGAGCTGATGCAGTTTGCCCAATCTCACTGAGTTAGCCTTAGTTGGCAGCCAAGCAGAATGCGGCCCCTGTATGTGCAGGGACATTTAGTGGGTTAAGTTTCTCCTCACTGGCCAGTTGACACCACCAAGAAGAGTACCTGATACATGGTGGTCACTGATTAAATGTCTCATTGAATGAGTGAATAAAACTCAGATTCTTTTTACTTCCATACATATGTGCCTTCCACTGTACCACTGGCTCCTGATAAAGTATCTTGGCTTAGAAAGAGCTTCTGTGGGAGAAAAAATGACTTTCTTCCACTTCCTTATCAAGGTACAAGGTTTTTGTGACCTCTGTTGGTATAAAACACATTCATCTGGACCCTCTTCAAGATACCTGGGGATCAGAAGCACTGTGGGGGTGTGCAGGTGAGCTGGCTGAGGTGGGGCACGTAAGCCGGCAGAAGGTCTTTTGCACAGTGGCTGACAGAGCTGGGAACAATCTTCTAGCCACACCAGCTCAGCAGACAGGGCCCCATGTTAGCCCAGCTGGAACCAGACAAAAACAAAATAGCCTTCTCGGTGCCAACCAGAGTAGAAATAAGATGTGTCAGCAAGACAAAACCTCTCCTTGAGGCTCTTCCACAGTACCTATTAGAAGTGAAGTCCAGAGGCTGCGGGTGGCAGTGGGGAGCCTGTGGTTAAGAATAGGGGAATATTAGCGCTGACACACTGGGCCATAATGGAAAGTGTCACCTCTTTCAATTCCTTTGAAATAGGCACCTGTGGTACGTGGCTTCAGATTGCTGCTCTGTTCTTAGCTGGGTCTTTCCTCCTCCCAGGCACCTGGGGAGAGGAAAGAGATGGGGGTTACAGAGGAGAAACAAGGATGGAACTTGCACCTTTATGCAGCCATATTCTAGAAACTGGGCTGTGCCTCTTTGCATACAGGACCTAGTGACACTGTCACTGTCTCTGGGTGAGATGCCCTCACACTTGCTTCATTTTCTTGGCCACTGAAAATAGCTCCAAATGTGTCTACTTCCTACCAGTGGAGCTGGTAAATATCTGGTCTAGCCCAGAGGTGCCTGCTGGGCAGTCATGGTAAAGACCCCCTGCAAGTCAGCTGTTGTGTATCTGACAGGTGACTACCAGCCATTTTAAAGTCTTTTATCAATTTCTGGAGCACCAGTCACTGTGTGAGTGTCTCAGCTGCCACATCTTTCCAAGGTGGCCAGGTCTTGGGAGATGAAGGGAAGTATAATTTGGAGACACCACAAATCAAAGTAAGAATGGGGTGTGTTGGCAACCACATCTCTTAGAGGTACCTCTGGGCACTCACCCCCTGCAGGCGTGTCAGAGAAGAGTGTGGGCTCACCGGCTTTCTCGTGCCTGTACTGTATCATCAGTGGGTCCTGGGAACCAGAATGTTCATCTCCAGATTGCCTTGGGCATTGCATTGCTATACAGATCACTGCCTTTTGCTCCAACACTATATTCTTTGCGACTAGGTCGTCTAACCTGTGTCCTTGGGTGCCATACAAAGCAAAGATCCTCTCTGCATCCCCTGTGGGTTGGTACAGGGATGTGTGATAAGAGAATACACAGGAGCAGTAAGCTGCTTATTTTATATACTAGGCCTTACTTGATCACAAGCCTTTTGTTGAGCTTTCCTTACACACTTGCCTATCTTTAGTTACAAGATCACCTCTACCTGCTGATTTCCTAATTTTACATGACTGAGTTTCTCTGAATTTGGTGTATTGTGTTTCTGCTTTGTCCACATTTTTTTGCTCAAAGTTAAGATCTTTTGATTGATAAAACATTGTAGCATTAAATATGTTTCAGGTATGCAGCATTGTATATTAGTATCTCTGTAGACCACGTTATATTCATCACTGAAAGTCTCGTTCTAGCCTTCACCAACAGGTACGTCATTTGACCCAGCTGACCCACCCTTCTCCCCTTTCCTCTCGTAACCACTAGCTTGGTCTTATAGTCTAAAAGTTTATTTTTATTTTATTTAGTTCACTTGATTATTTTGTTCCTTTATGTACCATGTATGAACGAAACGATGTGCTACTTGTCTTTCTCTGGCTTATTCCACTTAGCATAATGCTCTCTAGCTCCATCCATGGCAGGATTCATCATTTTTATGAAATGATGTCTTCTTTATCCAATCATCTGTCTGTGGTACTCCGGTCGTTTACAACCCTTGGCTATAGGGAACAATTCTGGGAAAGAAATCTCTTAAAAGTAGTGTTTTTAGGGCCTCCCTGGTGGCCTGGGGGTTAAGTCTTAGTGCTATCATGATTAAAGCCTGAGTTGGATCCCCAGCCCAGGAGCTAACCCACATGGCAGAGCAGACCTCTTGCCTGCTCCCCTCAGCAGTGTACTTCGGTCAGTCTGCCTGTTCTGCTCCTCACTCTGTCTCTGGTGAATGAGGATTCCCCCCCATACCTCTGGCCTCCACCCCAGTTCTTATATGCATAAATAAATAAAAATAAATCTTCTAAAAACAGAAATAGTGTTTTTATATTCTTTGGGTAAATACCCAGAAGGGGAGTAACTGGATTATATGGAATTTCTATTTTTATTTCTTTGAGAATTCCCCACACAGCTTTTCATAATTTCCCCAAGATTGTCATCTCCCATTGTCCCTCCTTCCCCTCCCCCTTCAGGCATTTCCAGAATCAGCTGGTCCCTCACCAAGTAGATTTGGGAAATGGCGGCAGCATGTTTTCACCATGACCCTCACTTTCTCCAACATCACAGCAAACTCTCAGTGCCTGTTTTGTTTGGGTCTGTGATTGCTTCTAGCTCTCCTATAGTTCTTGGGAGCCAGGTAGCACCCCATCCACAGGATTCCACTTCCATTGCCTTTGTTTCCTCAGTCCCAAGAATGGATTTTTTTTTTAAAAAAGATTTATTTATTTATGCATACAAGAACTGGGGTACAGGACAGAGGTGTGGGGGGGTGGTGAGAGGATTCACCAGAGACATAGTTGGACTGACTGAATTACACTGCTTAGGGGAGAAGCGAGAGAGTCAGGAGAGGTCTGCTGTGCCATGTGGGTCAGCTCCCTGGCAGGGGATCAAACTTGTGCTGCAGTGGCTGCGGGTAATTACATAGTGCTGCGTCTTAACTCCTGTGCCTCCAGGGAGGCCCCAAGAGTGGAATTCTTATTTCTCTTATCCAACATGTCTTTTGGGTTTGTCTGGGAGTGGAAAGCACCAATCATCTGAGCAAAGAATTTGGTGGTGGGTTGGGGGAAAGGAGTGCCTGGATTCCTTTATTGTATCCTGTATCCACTTAACTATTGACACTGGAGGGCTAAGAGCTCTGTACAGCATAATAATAAGAAAGTATTTAATATACCATTAAAAAATAATGTAACTTTTTTTTAAAGATTTTTTTATTTATTTATACAAGCACTGGTTACAGTCAGAAGCGCGGGAGGGTGAGAGAATTCACCAAAGCCAGAGCAGGGAACAGAATAGGCAGACCAACGAAGTACACTGCTGAGGGGAGCAACGGGCGGCAGGAGAGGTCTGCGTGCCATGTGGGATCCTCACCCTGTGGCTGGGGAATGAACCAGCGCTGCAGAGGCTGCAGGTAGCCTTGCAGCCCAGCACTCAACCGCTGCGCCCCAGGGGAGGCCCAAGACTGATTGCTTTTTTAAGTATGTCAAGATGCGTTTAATCTTGACATGGCATGATGCAAACATACTTCTGGGGGCTAGCGATATTGGAAGCTTACCCTGACATTGTGCAGGCACTTGTGGGCCTGCTGCACTTTGTGTTGTTTGTCCAAAGACTCTTTGGGTTAGGACACAATCCCTTTCTTGAAGAGTTTGGTTCTTAATCACAAAGATAGAGAATGAAGAGGTTTAGACACCCTTGCAGAATGGACAGGGGATGTGTGCACAATTGTGTAGCTGTTGCTAAGAATCACAGAAACATTGCATGGTCTGAGGCTGGCAGTCAGGGGGCTTGGGTTTGAGTACCCTCTCTGTTGCTGATTGCTCATATGACCATAGGTAAGTTTTCCATCTTCTGGCTGGTTTTGATTTTCTCCATTGTAATATTAAAGGGTTTGTCTAAATGACCTCCAAGGGCTTCTGCAGCCTTTACCTTACCTCTCTGCTGCATGACTTGCTCACACGTTCTCCATTTTCCTGTGGGGGGTTTCCTAACCGCCTCCATTCTTGTCCCCTAACCCATATGCCATCTTCTTATCCCCAGCATCTTATCTTTCTAAATATATAAGCTTTATCATGTCACTCTCACCTGAAGCCTTTATACTGATGGGATAAAGACAGAACTTGTTATGGATCTAAATAAGGGCAAGAGATATAAATAGCATAATTATAAAGTATGATTTCACCAGTTTCATATGGAACATGTTCCACACAAAACCAAGATTCCCATTCCATTTAAGTTCCAGTGAAACATTTACAGAAACTGAACTTAGAATCGTAACTTTCCTAAGGCAGAAAGTTCTTGCCTACAGTCTCTGACCACAATTCATAAATGCACTCAAATTTTATTTTATTTTATTTTATTTATTTATTTTTAAAGATTTATTTATTTTTATAAAAGAACCAGGGTACAGGCCAGATGGGCGGGAGGGTGAAAGGATTCACCAGAGACAGAGCAGGGAACAGAACAGGCAGGCAGACTGAAATACACTGCTGAGGGGAGCAGCGGGCAAGACAGGAGAGGTCTGCTTCGCCATGTGGGATTCTCCAGGCTGGCGGAGATCAAACCTGTACTTCAGAGGCTGCAGACAGCTTCACAGTGCGGCGCTCAACCGCCTGTGCCACCAGGGAAGCCCTGCACTAAAATTTTAATCTTACTAATAGAATAATACTTGGCAAACACTTTCCAAATTTGAGATTTAAAGAAAAACAAAAACAAAAAACCCAACCACTCCAAAATTTGAAAGTTTTAAAAAATAATAATAATAACTGGTAGTTCAGAAAGGAAAGGAAAATAGGAATTACTGATTATTTAAAATTATTATTTTTTTTAAAGTACTTTTTTTTTTTTTAAGATTTATATATTTATTTATACAGGCACTGGGTACAGTCAGAAGCACGGGAGATTGAGAGAATTCACCAGAGCCAGAGCGGGGAGCAGAGCAGGCAGAGGGACCGAAGTACACTGCTGAGGGGAGCAGAGGGCAGCAGGAGAGGTCTGCGCGCCATGTGGGACCCTCCTCCTGTGGCCGGGGAGCAGCCGGGGATCGAACCGGCGCTGCAGAGGCTGCGGGCAGCTTTGCAACCCAGCGCTCAACCGCTGCGCCACCAGGGAGGCCCTATTTAAAATTATTAAGTTTGAAACCCTGTATGGAATGTGGCAAGATCTGTTTTTAAAGGATGATTCACATCCTTAAATGACTTTAATAATGAGGAAAAATGAAAAGGAAATGTGGTCATAATTATGTTTAAGAATCAAAGAGATGAAAATAAAGAAAACCAAGGGAAGCAAGAATTAGCAAAGTCAAAAACAGAAACAAGTGAATTAGAGAGGAAAAAAGAGTAGTTTTATTAAAAGTACAATTAAACATTCACAAGAATGATTAAAAAAAATAAGATGGCCCAGAGTCAGAACATATTGGAGGTGAGAAAGATGGCCTGCACTCATTTTCTGTGGCTGGTGTAACAAATGACTACAAACTTGTAACACATGATCAGAAGCTTGGTAGCTTAAAACAGCACAGATTTATTCTCTTACAGATCTGGAGGCCAGAAGTCTGAAATTGGTCTCACTGAACTCTGGTCAAGGTCAGCCTTCTCTTGTGGTGGCTCTGTGGGGGCATCTGTTTCTCTGGCTGGTCTAGAATCAGGAGTCTACTCCTCCCCACCCCCCACCCCTCCA